AAAAAAATAGAAAAATAACATTTAAAAGAATAGAAAAAAAAAACATTTTAATAACATTTAGAAGTTTTGACAAGAAAAGTAAGTTTAAAAATTACAAAATTCGCATATATTTATTTTTTAAACATTTCATCAACTTTTAGCTGACGAAACTTTGGTTTTTGATTGAAAAACAACTGTTGGATTTTATAAACAGCCATTACATGAGTTTCCTCAATAAATGATTTCTGTTCCATTCCAGCTATTAGTTCTTTAGTTAGTTGGATACATCGTTCATTAGATATGACAGATACTTGTTCAGCTTCATCTTCGTCGTCACTTTCGTTTTGTTCTGCGCCTGGGTTCAACACCATCTGAATAATTTCAGAATCTGTCATTTCGTTTACAATTGGGACGTCGTTATCTATATTAAAGCACTCATTAATCTCTGCTTCTGACATTAAGTCCCGCTCTAACCATTTTCGAGAGTATTCCCGGAGCTCATTTTGAAAATCTTTTTCTTTTGAAATTTTGATTCCTTCAAAAGGAGAGTCGTCAACATCTTCTTCTAAAAAAATACATGTCGGAATTAACTTCCGCCATACGTGAGTTAATGTATCATGGGAAACAAATTCCCATGCTTTCGCTGACAACCATATAGCATCTTTCACGGTGAATGTTTTCAGAACATCTTGGACTGATTTTCCTTCATTAGCTGCGTCGATCAGCTTCTTTAAAAACTCAACCTTATAGCGGCATTTTAAGCTGCGTAAAATGCCTTGATCGAGAGGCTGTATCAAGGACGTACAGTTTGGGAGGAGATATTGAATTTCAATATTATTGGCAGTTAAAACGGCTGCAGGTGGATGTGCCGTACAGTTGTCTGAAAACAAAACAATTTTACAGTCATCGGGCAATCCCACCGATTTACAATGTGCACGTGATTTAGGCACAAATTCCTTCTTGAACCATTCCGTGAAAAGTTCCTGCGTGATCCAAGCTTTTTTATTAGCTGTATAAACTACAGGCAAAACTTTGACGCCTTTTAATGCCCGGGTCATTTTTACTTTTGCAGACAACAGTCAGTTTCAATTTACACGTGCCCGCTGCATTCGCGCAGGCTAATAATGTCAGCCTATCCTTCGCAATTTTGAAGCCACTAGGATTGATTTCGTCTGTTGTAGTATAGGTAGTATCTGGTAGATACTTGTAATAGAGACCCGTTTCATCAACGTTAAAAATTTGCTCTAGGGTCAAGTTCTGAATCTGAACCACATTCAGCACAAAATCTACATAATTCTCAGTGGCTTCTATATCGGCTGAGGCTTTCGAATGCCGTTTCTCTCTTTGAATCTGGCAAACCATCCTATGCTGTATTCGCAATTTTTTTCTATGCCAAGCTCATCGTGAAAATTTTTCGCTTGAGCCATAATTATTTGTCTAGTTAAAGGAAAGTTTTCTGATCTTCTCTGTCTTATCCACTCCATTAATACTTTGTCGACATCCTCATTTTTTGGCTGATGCAAAGTTTTTCGTTTTTTCATTGCATCTTCTCGCTCGGAATTTGAAAATAGAGCCAGTATTTTTTTCTTTTGACCGTCTTTTCGAAGATCATAACTGGTTTGAGTCCCTACGTTATAAATTTCACTAAGAGATTTTACTGAAGAACCTTCATCTAATTTTTTTAAAATTTCTACTTTCGTTTTTATCGATAAACTCACGCGCTTTCTTTTTTTAGACGTTGAAATAGACGAAGACATTTTCTTTCAAGATCACAAAATATACGACTAGTGCTATAAAATTCCAAAATTAAAATAAATTTTTCACACTCTAAAAAAGATTCCTAACACGTTTTAAATAATCCTAGCACAAGTAGATAAATGATGAATGATCTACTAATGTCAGAGAAGGGGGTGGAACCAATGTCAAATAAATGAAGCTGCGTGTAAAATATCTGCCCATCTGGTGGTGAAGGTCAAGATGTGAAATTATTTTAAACTATTCTTTCTAACAGTAAAGACCAGATGTCCCATGAGTCATCCATTTTACAGAAGGTGGTTGGTAGGGATTAAGACAGGTCAAGCAGTTGTTAAATTACATTGCTAAAAATAACAAGATTATCTTATTTATGTTGCGTGTCATTTCAAAACTGATTAAAAAAAATAAAAAACATTTAAACGCTAAATAAAATCCAATATATTATTGGAAAGAAAAGCACCAATGAGTTTGTAAAACAAAGCATATTTTTAGCATTTAATATCAGACCGTTCTATAAAGAAACTAACAAATATGTAAACAATCCATATTTAAAATTAATCCTTATTTATTAAGTTAAATCACAAAAAGAATAACTAACTAAAAAATAATGCATTTTACCAACAGATAAGCAAATAAATAAATATTAAAAATAAATAAACTATAAAAACTTATATTTTTAATCTTTACATATAAAATAAATAAATTATCCCCTGAAGTATTAAAAAAAAATTAAATCTTAAGGGAGAACTAATTAATCAATAAATTAATAAGAACAGCTTTTCAACAGTCATCCCGCAAAACAACTAAATTAATGAAATATTCAACATTTTATTTATATTTAAATGAAATTAAAACGTATTTAACCAACTGGCGAATGTTTTTAAAAATAGAAGGAGAAAAAATTATAACAATGCAATACGTTTAGATTTTCTATAAAAAAAATAATAAATCACAAATAAGATGGATAGATAAAAAAATAAAAATTAAGATGGTAAAACAGCGAAATTAATAAAGATAACTTATTTTGATATTTGAACATAATACACAAAAGGAAACAATTAAATATATAAGTTAATTGAAGTTATTAATTTAATTGAAGTTGAGGAAAATTATAATAAACTAAATAAAATCAAATTAAATAAAATAAAAAATAAAAAAAACGCTGGAAAATTACCAAATGGAAACAGTAACTAGAAAGGGCTCTATCATAAATATTAAAACCGGGAGATTATAAAATCTACTGAATTAAAAAAAAATTATCTTAAAATTCATGAATAAAAAGATATAATTTATGAAGTACGAAATTTATTGTGAACGACAGGAGGAAAAAAAAAAGGGTATTGAAATCGGAAGTAAATCGCTTTTAAAAAGGGAAACCTGCAATCTGCCTTTTTTATTTTTAATTTTAGTAATAAATAATTGTATGCTTCATTATTAAACAATCTTTTCCGTTTATTTTTTTTATAAAATCAGAGGATTTTTATCGAAAGCAAATGCGATTCCACATCAAGCAAAATTTGAAATCATGATTAAACGAAAGAATCTGAATTTATTTAATCGAAAAATATTGTTTTGTTAATTAGTGTCAAATAAATTAATATAACAGACAAAAAAAAATAAAAAACGTTTAAAATTGTAATAATGATGTATTGTCAGAAATTATAGAACAATAATTTGTCATGATAAATCACGGATAACAAAAATGAAAAAACTGGAGAAAAAAAATAGAAGATTAAAAAAAAAAGTTCTAACATGTTAACAAGTTCCTTGACTCGGACTTCTAATAGACAACATTCCAGAAATGATTAAGAATAATAGATGAATCTTAAAGATGCAAAAAATAACGTCGGTCCGGTAAAATTCGGATTTTTTTAAAATTCTGTGTTGCGCTAGCGCAAATTACAGTACTGAAAACGGAAGCGAAATCTCGCAATTTAGTAGTGTCGAATTCTCTGACAATTGTTTCCAATTGTGTTTTAAGTTTTATTTTGCGAAATTATTCTGATTACTTTTTAAATGATAAAATTTAATCTTTTTTTAAATGATCAACTTAACTATATTCTTACTTTATTATTGAACTAAAATGTGTCGTATTTTAATCGTTTTTGTATTCCAATTTGTACTCCCATTTCAGTTTTTTTTTTTTACTTAGTAATGTATAGGGATATATTTTTCTTTTTATTTCTCTTTCACCTTCTATTCAACGATATGCGTGTGCAATGCTTGTTCCCCTCCCCCCCACATAAATCGAAGAGAAAACGAAAACAGCATGCCACTCCCTTTTTGATTGACGGTAGCTTATCTGAAAACCACAAATTCTTGGGAATGCAGGGAAGAAAGTAAAAAGTTTCCCCTTTTCCGGCCCTTTCCCGTCCTAAAGAACTTCAAGGTTACAGAAGAAATAATCAAGTTTTCTCTTGACATATGACTCCCCCACCCACCCTTTTTCCTACTAAACTTCAAAAATGAGTAACACTTCCGCATTTTTTCTCCATCCTTCCAGTTCAAAATGGCGGGAAAACGAAGCAAAATTTTCCCGGTTTTCTGGGTCCCGGATAAATGGTTCTGTACTGTATCATTTTCACTTAGTAATCAGCTTATTTGATATCACCCCTTGGAACCATTAAGATTGAGATTTAGTACCTGAAAATACAATCATTAGAACAAAAGATATTCTGAGTGATATCTTTTCTTTTTGCTTGCTGTGTATTTCATGTATTGCTGTGTATTGCCACAGTGTATTTCATTGTCACAGTGTAAACATTCTGGAAAATAGTGCTCTCCCAACTCTAAGGCAATATTTCATGCAAAGCTCATTTCTCTGCCATCAGGATAAGTGATCCATTGACTTGTCGAGACTTATTTAGTCATGCTTTGTAAAAAAAAATAAGTGTTCAAAAATTGGAATGGCCTTCTCTGAACCCTGATCTAAATTACATAGAGCAACTTTGGGGCAAATTAGAATGTAGATTATGTAGCCATTGCATAATTCGCCATCTTCTTAGCCTTCACTAAATCACTAGAACTGTAATAGATATCTGGAAGTAAATTGGTATGGCTATCTATCAAAACCTGGTGGAAAGTCTCCCCAGATGTGTGTAGGCTTTAATCTACGTAAAAGAGGACTAACATCTTATGAGTATATGTCTCAGGACTCTCTGAGTTTGTACGACTGAGTGTCTGGCCACAGTGTATTTCAATTTTTCTATAGTAGTAGATTAAGGAATGGTTTGTTTTATTTTAATTTTTCGATAATATTTTTTTAGTCTGATGAAGTGTACCTTGAAGCTCCGATTCAAAATATTACCTATGCCCCTATGTGCTTGGAGCGAGTTACTTTAGAACCATCTAACAACTTTGTGTCACATCAATTAAATACAATTGAAAGTATCAATGGGTTTGTATATTGAAATTTATCTAACTTTACTAGACATAATATTATAAAATCAAATTATCTGTCTTAAAATAATGTTTTTTAAAGTAAATCAAATATAGAGTTAACAAAAAAGACATTTTTTTTTCAAAAAAAAAACTCTGGTTTTCTACATTTAAAATTTTTGTTTATTTATTTTTTTAGTTAATTTAAAACAAAAGATCAAATAATATTTTAATTCCCAAATTAAAAGTTATTAAGGGATTCATAACTATTTCATAAAACATTTTTTCTACCATTAATAAATGTTTTCAAAAAACAGTTAAAATTTATCAATTTTTGTTCTTTTAATACACTCGTTTGAAAAAAAAAATAATAACTGGATATTTTAAATGCTCTTCTTTGTTACTTTATACCTTCAGTTGATCTGTGAATAAAAACTCAACATCTAAATGTCTTTTTAGTACTGCATGAAAAAGTATGATTTCCTGTGTGAGATTTGTTCATTTGTAATATGAAAATACGTCACTTTTCATCATTATTTACATTGGTATCATTGTTTAGCACTTTTGTTACGTACAATTAAGAGCATTAGTATTAATTAAATTCTGTAAAATAAACTGTTCTTGTTTCTTTTTCCATTAAATCAATATAAATTTTAGTACGAAGGAAATAATTTATATTTTCATTTAAAATAATATCTGAAAATAATTGAATGATAAAAATAGTAAAATGCTGCATCTAAATAGTTTAAATATGTTTTAATATTAATGGTTTAATAAAAACAAAAGAATAAAATTACTTATTTATTTACGTGGATATAATTGAGCTTTAAGTTTCATAATATGTTTACTAACATAATAGTGCATTTATAAAATAATATACTAGGAAAATATTTTTATTTTTTAAATGTTTTTTTTTTTAATATATAAAATGGAATTTGAAAATTATTACAGACCAAACATGTATGTATGCAATACAAATTTGTTTACACTGCTAACAGAAAAAAAATTTAGGAAAGCTCCTCATTCCCATTTGTGCTTTTTGTAAAACATAATGTAACTTTAACAAAATAAACATTATCTAACTTCTTATTTTAACTCATCCAATAATTACATTATTTAACTTATTTTAAAAACCTTCATGAAGACCTCATTATTTGACCTTGAAAACTTTTTTCGAAGGACATGAACTTGATAATGCTGTATTTTGTTTTAATTTTTTTTTGAAGCATCATGATGACTTGCTTTAAGCTTGCTCACATTAATTAATTTTACATAGATAAATTAGCAGGAGCAATGATATGAAAATATTTAAAAATTACATAGTTTTTTTCAAGTAATGCTGATTCACATTAGCAATTGAACTCAAAATTTAAAAAAAAGTTGGAAAAAGTATTTTTTATTTATTTGGTTCTATCCAAACTAAAGTAAGTAATAAATTAAAAAGCATTCTTAAAAAAAGAATTTAATTTAAACCATGGATTAAATCACACTGCTTGATACCAGCCAATCTTGGTAAAATATTTGTTATTTTTTAATAAATGTTCATATAAAATGTATTTTATTTTTTTAGAGTGTATCAAGTGTTTGGAGAAACAAATTGCATTAATCCATTAGATAGCAGACAATATTTATTTTGCCTCACTCCAAAGCCTGGTACTGTAACATATTCTAAGTTATCAAAAAATGTAACTAGTATTGGGAAGTTGGATATTGTCTGGCGTACAAGTATGGGGGAAAAAGGTCGCCTACAAACATCCCAGCTGGAACGAATGGTAATATTTTTATTATGAGAACTATTAATTTTCTTCTTAAATTATTTTTTAACTTACATATTTTTTTAATTAGCATTAAAATAACACTCACTTAGTAAAAGCTTTCTGTGATTCTTGGATTTCGCTCATTTAGTTAGAGTAGTCCCTGTTTTTAGCAATAAAAAATTGTGTGTATTAAATAGATGTGTTAAGTTTATTTTATGAGCAATTTTCTTTTCATTTACCCGTTTAATTTAAAAATCTTATGTTCTTTAAATAGGTACCAGGATATGGTGAAATTAGATTAGCAGTTGTTGAAATTCCTGGCATAGTAAAGTTAGAGAAGTTGTTTCCTGTTACAGTAAGAATCACAAATGCCTGGTATATATTTTATCAAATGTTTATTTTTTCTTTCCTTTGTTAAGTTATTATTGTAAAAGTTTTTAGGAAATTCATTCTGATTTATACTTCTTTGAATTTTGATTCATAGATACCCATACAGCACATTGACTTTGTTATGACATCCTAAAGTTGTCATCTTTAGGATTCTGTGACTTCCAGAGGAAGTCCTATATTTACCGCTAAATGTCCTACGGATGTCATCTGCGTGTTAGAATGTCCCACCTGCAGATATCTTAATGATGTCATAACTAGGACAGTTTCAGGATACCTTTAGAACGCTTTAGGATGGCATTAGGACAAAAAAAGACCTGTTTAGTAAGGATTTAGGTAACTTGTGGGATGCATGTTGGAAATGGTATGATAGTAATAGGAGGGTGTCTTATTTTGGAAATAAATTTCATCTCTGAAATTTTAATTAATATTGGCAACTTAAATAAGGTTTTTCTTTTAAATTTACTGAATTAGAGGTCAGAAAAGTGTTTTCTAAATGGAAAAAAAAAGTGATGGTTTTTAATTTGTACATCACTCTATCTCGATTGGCATTACTAATTTTCCAGAAAAATGGGCTATTCCTCAACTATTTCTTTTTAGGAAAATTAGTAAAGCAAAAGGGTTAAAAAATAAACATATCTAAAGAAAAGAATAATGTATCATTTTAATCCAAAAATATGCAAGTTAATAGGATTTCACATTTCTATTGTTTGGAATAAAAACTTTGTCATTACTAAAAAAGTCTAATTGAGTGTACCCTTTGAACACCAAGGAAGGTTATAAGTCTCCTAATTAGCGTCAGTTTTCTTTAAAGATTATTTCTAATTAAATTAAATTATGAGCCTTGTTGAATCTTATGTACATTGCACATATTGTTTAATGTAGTAGATATATTAAGGATCTTATAATAAAATAATGAATAATTTTCTTTTTAACTTAGCATTAGTATTTAAATTTCTCGTATTATCAATTGAAATTATTTAATTGGCAAAATAATTCTCATTACATTCTTCTGCAAAATTTACTAAAAAAATTTTTTTATTATAAATAGTTTAAATGAAGTTACTATTTTATCAAAAACTCAAAATAGATGTTTATGGATCACATACTTTATTGTTTAACTATTGTGTCAATGATGCAATTTAAAAAACAAATAAAAATAGAAAATTATCTGTTTTTATATACAAACTAAAACAGCTGTTGCCATGTTTTGCTGAAGAATTGTTGGCTGAAGGCATACCTGAATCAATATCTTGAAGATATTAAAAATGATAACTTGTTTTAAGGATTTATCCATTTTTTGCAGCATAAATTTAGTGTATGCAAATAAATATGAGAATAGAAAAAAATAAAGAATATTAGAATCACATAAGTAAAACTTTTATTTACACAATTATTTCTCTAATTTTTTTTGCAGAATAAACTCTTCTTTCTTTAGCATGGCACAACCAGCCTCTAATAATGCTTTCAACTTCATTTACTTTAGTGTTTGTGAAAACACTGCAAACAGCTTCTAAAACATAACAAAAAGAAAATATAAACAAACAAGTAGGTATTTTTATGAATAAACATAAAATTATTTCAGAACCTATTTGAAAGGTATCTAAAACTAAATTAGTCGAAGTCCAGATTTCTGTTACTCTCAGGGAAAATATTATGGGGTGACCTTCTTAAGCTCCTTTTTTAATTAGGACTAAATTCACTCTAAATAAAAAATGACTAGTTTTTTTTAATTGCCCATTGTACGTATACTAGTTCACAAAAAATAAAATTATTTGATTCATTGTCACAAGAATAATCTAGTAACATTAACTGTAATAATGATAAAACTGTTAGTACAAACACATGTAACAATGATCAGAATATTTTAAAGTGCAAGTCAAAAGAAGAGTTGGATAACTGAAGTATCGTATGATTACCGTTCTACTGTGACTGGAAAAGAAGATGGTGATACTAATAACAAGATTATTTCAAACAGTTACACACTTATTAATTATTCCAAACACAGAGAATGATAGAAATTTATAAACTCATTGAAAATTCATGGAATACTAAAATTATAGTATTTTAAAAAGTTGAAGAAAAAAAAAGCTGGTTATAGATGTTGATTTGCCAACTAAATTTAATAATAATAATACCATTTTAATGTGTATAAATACTTTTAAAAATAAAATTCATTTTCTAGACAGGGAACTTTAGCAACACAAATTGTACTGACACTCTGTAACCAAAAAATCTTTTTTTTTCATTAATGCCCACACAGTTATAGAGTTCAGCAACATCATCAGGCATGATGTGACGAAGTGCTCGGCTTGTATGTTCTTTAAAATCAGTTCCAACAAGACTTTGCAATCTAGCAGACTATGAAAAAGAAAAAAAATTACTAAAATTAAAAAATTTATCACCTTATGCCTTAAGTTCAGAAAATAATTTATCTCATGGTAGCAAAGCATTATTAATTTACTTAGAAACAAATGAGTTTTTACCAACACTGCAAAAGAATAATTTAAACAAAAAATTATACACTTCATTATATTAAAAATACATAAAAGCAAATTTCCTGATTATATATTATTAAGTTATAAATTTGTTAAAGGAAGTTTTGTAAAAGCTCTCCGCTTGAATTTTTATCATTGGGGAGAAAATTTTCTATAGCTTAAAAAAATAATTACCAATTCAGCCTTCAATTTCGAATTATCCAGTAAAGAATTTTGCTTTACAAATCCACTGTCACATTTTACAGGAATCCCAAGATCGCTTCGTTGATGGATTGAGGGTGCAGCTGAAAAAAATTACACAATGGTTGTTACTAATAAATTCAAGATGAAGTATGTTGCTCAAGTCTTAATTCAAATTAAGCTTGTTATCATGATCTCATTAGAAAAAAAATTAATATTGAAGAATATTATCAAAGATTATATTTAAAAGCATTCTATAACAACTTTTCGAACAAAATCATCAAACTGTTTTAATTTATGGAGAATTAAATAAATACAATATACAAAAATTAAGTACGGAAATAAAATGAAAAAAAATTATTTAAGTATCTGAAACGAATAAGAAATTATACAAATAACAATATTTTAAAAAAGCAAATTGACATGTGAATGATACAATTATTAAAAATTTATTTTAAAGAAAACAAAATTTTATTCTGAAAATAGTTTATCGTAATTCAGCCCAAGAAAAAGAACAAACTCTTGGAGAATGAAGAAAAAGACAATACTAAAATTTAGCATACAATTTTTTTTGTAAAAAGGCAAATATGTAAATACTAACTAAATGTTTCAACCACTATGGATGGTGTTTTCAATAAAAATGTAAACAATAACAATCTCGAGCTCAGCACCTACTCTAGTTCCGGTTAAAAAGTTTGCAGCTGCTTACTACATGCTATTCTGATAGGTGATGTTTTCAAACGGATAATTTTGTTTTCAATAAAAGAAATAAATTAGATAATTTCTGAGCTCAAATCTGCCATATTTCATAAGATATTAATGTTAATATGTAATTCTGGTGAGTTTGAAGTGAAAATTTGTTTTAGTTTTTTAGAGATATATTGTTAAAAAAGGTGACATGGTTGCTAGATTTTGAATAACTCGCTTTTTTGGCAGTCTTGATATGGCCTCTTTCCATAAGTTTATTACTGTTTGTTCTTGTTGCAAGCTGTGCACCATCTTACGTTAGTGTTAACACTTTTAGCATTGTAAACACCAGTATTGTTAGCATTGTAAGCACAAGTAATAAGTAATCAAATACATTGATTGCAAGAATCTCAATACACAATGATGCCAAATGGCTTTAAAATACAACGGAAACAGTAACCCGGAAATTTAGGCGGTACCGAGCTTGCAGCGTTCCCTAGTGTAGAAAACACCATCCATTATCAGTTAAAAATGTTAACAAAAATTTAACAATGGAGAAAATATGTAGATCAACTACAAGTAAGTTTTATATGCCTTTTAAAGCACTAAATATTTTATTTTAAAAGATCGTTGAATATTTTTAAACCAGCTTCACATTGCAAGAGGCAAATAATGACAAATATATTTACAAGAATTTTCAACTTATTAAACGAAAATAAACTCCTTACAGATTCAATAACTTTTTTAAATACTTCGAATAACTTTTCAACAAATTTTTTAAAAAAAAGTATTTCTTGAAATACTAAGTAGTGAGTATGAATCTAATGAATATGAGTATGAAACTAAGGAATAGGGTATGAAACTAAGCATTAAGCAGAAGAAATTCTAATAATTGCTTTAGAAACAATGACATCAAAATGTAGACACTATTCTGTATAAAATTAGTTACACATATAAACATTTTTATTGCATCCATATGATTCTTTTATATATTAAATTTTACTAATATCGATATAAATATAATTTCAGAACTATTTTTAAAAAGATAAAAATTACTGAGATAGTGAAAATAATGTAATTATCTTTAGCAGTTAAAATTAATAGCCTGATTAAATTTCATGTAATTGTTAATTAACTTTGCAACTTTTTATTAATTTTAAGACAGATTGATTATGAACAATCATGTAAGGAGAAAAACTGAATTCATTGCAGCAAATGCTGCAACTTACTCAATCTAGAACGGGAAAAAAAGCAGCAGCCCTTTTGCTTGGTTATTTACTTGGCTAAGTATATCTAATTTTAAAAATCCCTATGGACAGTGTTTTTTACACAAGGGAACGCTGCAAGCTCTATACTTATATACGCCTATACTTCCAGGTTACTGTTTCCGGTGTATTTTAAAGCCATTTGGCTTACAACGCGAACATTGTGTTTTGAGATTCTTGCAAATGTGGTATTTGATTACTTATTACTTGTGTTTACAATGCTAAAGGTGCTAACTCTAACGTAAAATGGTGCACAGCTTACAACAAGAACAAACAATAATAAACAAATGGAAAGAGGCCAAATCAGGACTGCCAAAAAAGGGAGTTATTCAAAATCTAGCAACCATGTCACCTTTTCAACAATACATCTCTAAAGAAATAAAACATAGTTTCAATTCTTACTCACTAGAATTACTTATCATTAATACCTTATTAAATACAACAGATTTGAGCGTAAAAATTATATAATTTACCGTAATTTATGGAAGAAACGTCGCGGCGTTTAAAAGTTTTAAAATTTTAATTGCGGCGTTTATGCCAGTTGCGGCGTTTACGATATTTTAAAAATAAATTTTACATTTTTCAAAGAAAAAAATTTTTTTTTTATCAAAATAGTTGCGAATTATGACAAAAGATGGCGCCACTACCGATAACCAACCACCCCTTAAAGAAAGTGGGTAGATCTCGATCTANTAAATTTTACATTTTTCAAAGAAAAAACATTTTTTTTTATCAAAATAGTTGCGAATTATGACAAAAGATGGCGCCACTACCGATAACCAACCACCCCTTAAAGAAAGTGGGTAGATCTCGATCTAGTTCCCGCCAACCGCGTGGTGGAAAGCTCTTTCTCATTTTTTCTCACTTTGTTATACTTTAATTTACATTTTAATTTCAGTAATATTTGTAAAGCATTAATTTAGTATATTTAATTTTTGCCGATGCATCGTTGTTATGGACGCGATTTATAAACTGATATCTTCTTATTTAAATAAAAGAGGTAATTTCCAAAAAATAAATAAATAAAATTAAAAAAAATATTTATAAAATATAAATATGTAGTAATTCGGCACTTAATCCGACCAATTTTTTTTTTAAAGAAATTTTTTTGATAAGAGAAAAAAAAATCAGTCATATTTTCTTCTTATTTGGAATTTTTTTCTCTTGAAGTAAGTAACTATATTTTATCTTTTAAAAATAAAAACATGAAGAGAAAAAATAATAAATCTGTATCAAACAAAACATAATTGAAAAGTAAAAACATCTGCATTTCCAATGAACAAAATAAAGAAATGCAAGTTGGGAGAAACTGATGAATCAATCTTGACAAGTGCTTTACTGTTTTTGTTCCCCTCCCCCATTTCCCTCTTCTGTTTGACCATAAATTAGCCACACCCTTTTGACATTGAAACTTCCTTCTCACTTGGTGTACAAAATGAATTCTATCCCTTTTGCTGCTTTTTTTTTTAATTCGATTTATTTATCTTTTTATTGCTTATTAACTGTTACTTTTTTTGTTAACTTGTTTTTTTATCGTTATTAGTTGTTTGCTTCTTTTTTGTAGTTCCTTGTTAGCTTTTTATTTTCCGAGATAAGCGTCTTTTGTTAAAACAAAATGTTATGTAAAAGAAAAAACGAGAACAATGATCTCGCTCTGAAGAAGAAACGATTATTTCTTTTTCGGATTATTTCATCTTGAATTATTTATCCTTCGGCTTATTTCTTCTTGATTATATCTTATCGATTATTATTTTAATTAATGAAATTTCTAAAGATGGGACGTTTTTAAATTCACTCCATCATAATCTACAATTGAAACTTAGCTAAATTTATTGGTTTTTCTGAAATTAACAGCGTAATTGAATTATCGTAATATACGGGCGCCATATTGGAATTTCCGGAAGAGATCCGAAATTCTGCAAATTCCGAAATTTCATCGGTCCCGTAAGTGCCGAATTTTGGGTCCTATACTATAATATAAAAAATCATTTATATTAAAGTAATATAAATATAGTTATTTAAATTTTTTACCTAACGAAGGCACCAACAGCCGATTGTAACATGTTGTTCTGAGCAGTTTGTCCAAAATATTCAATAGCAAATTCAATTTTTGATTTTATTATAATTATACATTTATAAATTTTAATTTATATTTTAAATTTAAAACATTAGTAGTATTTATAAGGAATTAATGTTATATATTCACTTTTGCCGCTAAATCGTTATTATGGGTGCGGCGTTTACAACGTGTGCGGCGTTTATCATGATTTTTTTTCTTTTAAGTCTCATTATCACAAGTGCGGCGTTTCTTCCATAAATTACGGTATTTCTTTTGTTGAAAACAAATTTATCCGTTTGAAAAGATCGCCTCGCAGCTTGTATTGAGCTCGAGATTGTTATTGTTTACATTTATATTGAAAACACAATCCATAGACAATTTATAGAAACAATTATGTAGAAAACAGTAAAATAACAATATACTAAATAATGAAGATGAATAGCAACATTGACATAATTTAAAATGTCATTTCATCATTAGAAGAAATGATTAATTTAGGGTTACCAAAAAAACATGCCAAATAATAAGTTAAACTTAAAGGAAGAAAACAAAAATAATAGAAAGAATGAATTATCAGAACAGATAAAAATTTGCCTCACAAAATGATAAAAATAAAGCATCCTCAATAATTATGAAAAAATTAAATAAACCACGCATGTAAACATTTAAATTGCAATTGAAATATTAAAGATAATGATGGGGTTCAAGTACACTAATAAATCAATAATATAAATATAGATTATAAAAAAAAAAGAATGATAAACAAAAAAGAAACTAATAAAGATATTTGAGCTCATAAATACCTTATTATTTAGATTTCACTAGCAGAATTGCTTTTGTCACTGGGCAAAAGAAATAACATTAACGGTAAAGTTGAAGTTAACACGCATGCGCTGAGCGATGATCCTACATGATTCCTAAAACACTCATTTGAAAGGCCTCTCATATTGCTGTCCGCTTGTGATTTCCTGCGGAATTCTTTCTTCTGACACTCTGCGGATATGACTGTTCCAGGAGTGTTCGGAATGTTTTGGGATGTCTTTAGGACGAAATTTGCTGTATGGGTATGATTAGTGACACTAAATTCCTAAAACTATATTTCTC